CCGCCCCCAGCCTGCCGTGCGTCTGCAGTGACCGTCTGTCCCGCCAGCTCCCCGCTGACAGGCGGGCGATGGCCATTGTCCCTGCACGGCAGCTCATTACGTCGGGCTGACAAAGACATCCCGGCTGCTTCCCCAGCCATGGGGGGCTCCGGCTGCAGCAGCCTCCAGTCACCGCCAGCCCCATGCTCCTGAAATGGAGCAGCCAAGCAGCAGCCGCTCCTTCCTCCTGGCAGAAGGACTGCAGCAGGGCAAGAGCACTAGCATCGTGCGTGGCTGAGACCGGCCTACTCAGTTCACGTGTCCCAGGGCAGCTTCGCAGCTTCTACTGCCTGGAGCAGAGGGGCAGGAGGTGCCTGCCACCATGGGGCAAGTACCTGCCAGGATGACCCTGCTTTCTCTGCACGGACAGTGCCAGGCAGTGCATCCTCTGCAGATGTCTGCACCTTTCCAACTTCCCAGCAGTCCCTCCTCTTCTTGCTGTGGTTTTCAGTCAGGACATGAGAGGATCCTAATAAAATTACCCGGTTACCCAACATGACTCGGCAAAGAGGTGATTTGGGGGAAGGATGGGGGAGGGCTCCTGGCCGTCTGGGTTGAGAAGCATTTTCCAAGTGATTTGCAACGATGCTGGCGAAGGCAAGGGTGCTTAATAGCATACAGCAACCTGCCAAGATTTCAAATAACAGCCAGGGGATAATTCATCCTGCAGCAAATGCAGCTGCTCACCTGGAGCGCAGCACAGCTGAGCCCTGTAACGCCTGCTGCTCCACCCCTCCTAGTACTTCAAATGCTGCCAATACCTTCTGTTACAGGCAGCAGGGCATCAAGATGCTGCAGGCATGTGGGAGATGGGATTATGCTTACCCGTATGTGTCCCTGCCAGCCTGGGAAATCTCAACTCTCCTGCTCTCAGCCCCAGGGATCGCCAGCTCTGGAAAGACTTAGCTCTTTGGTCTGTTGGAGAGAGGTACAGTCCCTGTGCAGGGGAAAGGCAACATGCACAAACTCCTCTGTGAAGCAGCCGGTGCTTCCCAGCTCCTTGCAAAACAGCTTGATGTGGCAGAAGGCAGGAGTGGAGCCTGGGACCCGTGGGCAGTGAGAGCTGCTGCAGCTGCTCTGCCCGCTCCTGGGCACAGAGATGGCTGCAGCACCAGCCCTATCTCAGTGCAAGGTGCTGAGCAGAAAAAGGAGCCTGTATCCTTACAACTAGGGGAGCTGCTCCACAACCTTTAGTGAGCAGGACTAGGGAGTACAGGCAGGGAGGTTGTGCTGTGCATATGAAAGTGGGCAGATGACTGCACCTGGGGGAAAACAGGAGCGGGGCAAAGTGCTCCTTATCAACAAATGACAGACCAGAGAGGGGGAACATATCAAGAAGCAACGTATCTTAGGCAGGCTGAGAAGTCTGTAACTTCTGAGTACCTTAGCCAATGGGGAAAAGGAGAGGGCCTATGTCGGTCAGAAAATTAGGATAAAAGGAGGCTGCGCCCTTCTGTAATTTGAGATCCCCCAGGGGTATGCTCTGGTGGACTCTCCCTTTATTTGAATACAATTTTAGGACTCCTCTGTATCCATTTAGGACATTCAGGATTTGACAGTGGGATTTGCTGTGCAGTGCAGATAGCGGCGTGGTGAGCTACGCTCCCTGTCCCCTTGCATGGCACATTCCCAACCACCTCCTCCTGCTGCAGGATGGCAGGACAAGGGCCAGGGCCTCAGGAGCCCCCCTGGCCCTGGTTGCAGACAGCGGCTGCACTCACTCATTCCACCCCTGCCAGGTGGCAAGTCCTCTCCTGTGTAGCAACCTGGCTCTGGGCTTCCTCACCACTGTGCACAGCAGTGCTTTCTGGGGACAGGGGCAGCACGGGCATGTACCCATGAGTTTGCAGGTTGTGTTCATCTTCCAGCTGCAACCGCTTGTGAGGAAGCAATTGGTTTCATCTGCAGCAGAGCCACTTGGAGCACAGGGATGAGCAGAGGTGAAACCCCACAGCACCAGAGAAAACACTTGGGGCAAGAACGAGGCAGCAGGCAGTTCGTGGGAAAGGAGACTTTAATCTGCCCAGTGTCTAGTCCATAGTGCAAAGAGTTAACCTTAAGGCAAAGCTTTCTCTCTCTATTTATTAACAGCAAACGGAAAAGCGTGACTGCTACAATAGAAACAGGGCTTGAGGGGGGAAACTGCAGTCCTGCAAAGGTGTCCTTCCCTTCCCCAAAACGTACCTGGGGACCCCTCTGTGTCAGCATCCTCAAGCTGCCCCCCCAACCAAAGGCTTCTGCCTGCAGCCGGGAGCATGGCCAGCACTTCTAGGTGTCCCCAAACGCACCCAGCAGGTAGGGCTCGGCTGCCCGGCTCCTCTTGAGGTAGGATCCCCGCACTAGCTGGGACAGGCTGGGTCAGGATCCCCAAAGAAGGTGGCCATGGGGTTGTGCTCGCTCCTGTGGGGGCTCGGCCACCCCAGCCACAGGAGGAGTTGCTGGGGCCGAGATCATATCTTGTCTTTGTCACAGGTCACGCCTGCAGTGAGGAGGCATCCCCCACCCTGGCCTGGCCATGTTGCTGCCTTCTCTTGAACTTGGACCACTTCTCAGTTAACAGGAGCAGTGAGGAAACCACACCAGCCGCCTGCAGGCTCTTGGCTTGTGCTCTAGAGTGGAGGCTCTTTCCAATTTTAGTGCTCCAGCTGAAATTGGCTCTGGCTGAGCCCAGGCAAGCAGCTGGGAAAGGGAAAGCTTTTTAGTGCAGGGCCCCCTTGGAGCCCAGTAATTTCTTGGAATGGTGCTGGTAGACTGAGCTGGGATGAGCCACCTCGACTCATTCCAGCCAGTAGTGGATGGCATGGTTTGATTTCTGGGGACGTTTTTAAGTAAAATTAGTTGCTTTTCACATTTCAGACAGGCAGCAAGATAGAACAGCAGTAGAACTTGGCTCTAATCAAGTACAGCTGTGGTCCTGGTACCGCTGCAGATCCACAGCACGGACGTGCAGCACTTGTACTGGCAGCTGGAATGTTTCAGTGTTCCCAGGAGGATTGGGGTGACCCTCTCCTCCCAGGCAGTCGCTCGCTCTAGCCAGCCCTGCCTGGGGCACAGCAAGCTTTGTCAGCCCAAGCCCGGGGAGTGGGCTATATAAAATGCGTATTATCTAGGGAGGATTCTCCAGCGTTAGCTCAGATGTGCACTGCTTCTGCTGAGGTGAGGCAGAGCTGTGCCAACGGCTCTGCAGAAGGACTAACCCCCAGCCCCACAGGTGAATAACCTGGTATGTGCTTCTTGTTCTAGCATAGGTGACACACAGAAGTAGCTGCGAAACCGAGCTCTGCAGGGAGCCTGCCTTCTCCGAGGCTCCTCACTCTCCCAACATGGGAAAGATCAAAAACAAAAGCCATAGCGGCCAGGGCAGTGAAGTATGGCTGTGGCACTAGAAATCCTGCTGTTTTCAAGTTGGGAGCCAAACTCGGGGCTTTGGTAGTGAAGCCTAAAAACTAGGGTGGGCTTATGGCTTGCTTAAGGGCCTCCCAAAAGGGGCACATTTCTCCGTTCCGTGGCAGTTGGCTTAGTGGGAAGGGCAGTTTGAATGGAGTCTGCCAAACAGTTTTGAGGCAGCTCCTGGCCAAACCTTGATAGCAAAACCTGCCTTTGCCTTCTGATTCCCAGAAGGGCACAACTTCTAATCTTTCCATTAGTTTTGGCTAGGAGGAACCAGAGCATCTTTCTGATATGGTATCAGCTTTTGATATCAAGCTGCTGTAAGCTCAAGGCAATAAGCCATGGAACAGCAAATGTCAACAGAAAAAGGCAGCTCTTTTGGCCTGCTGCAGAGATCAGCCATTGTGCTTGTTAGCGACAGCCATAGGCTAGTTACATTACAAGTGTGGTTAACAGATACTCCAACAGCCTCTTCCCCTCCCAGCACCATTCTTAGCTCTTTGGAAAACTCGAGGCAGTGCTGGGAAGAGCGATACTGCTTCCGGACAACAGGCAGCAACAGGGATGGTCCTTGACCTTGTCGAAAAAACACCCAAGGTACTTGCTCCTGGGTTCACAAGTACACGTTGAGCGTCTGCAGGATCATCTGGCGACACAGAGGGCAGTTGCGCTGGTAGATGGCCTGCTGCAGCAAGACTTCCGTGCACTCCTGGCACAGGCACAGGTGCCTGCAGGGCAGCAGCAGGACTGTCTTGGTTTGGTCTTGACAGATGACGCATTTCTTCCGTTCTTCTTGTTCCTTCAGAAGCATCCAGGGATCATTGTCCGGAGCAGCGTCACCATCCCCAGCCGCTGCATTCAGCTGCTCTCTCCTCGGAGGTTGCACCCAGGAGGTGCCCGGTTCTTCCCTGGCTGGCTGGACACGCTGCCCTGTAACAGCGCCTCGATTCAGAGCTGGACGCGCGTGTGGTACCTGCTCCTCCTCCCCCTGCTCTGCCGCTGCCAGCGCGGCCCTGCCCGGAGCCGCCGGTCTCGGGACAGGCACGGCTGCCTCTCGCTGGCTGCTCTCCCGGTTCATCGTTCTGCCTCCTCTGCTCCAGTTGGACACCTGGAGACTCCAGTCCACCAGCCTGCGCCAGGCCTGGGAGGTCATGACCATGCCCAGCGTGAGGACCGCCACCTGGTAGAGCCGCCACGCATCCCTCTGCAGGCGGTGGTAGGGAGGCAGCGTGTTCAGGTACCCGAGCACATGGCTGGCCAGCGTCCACACCAGCCCAGGGTTGAACACAAAAGTGCTGACCACAATAATAAGGATGAGCAAGAGCAAGCCATAGATATTCACAAAGAAGACGTTGATCAAGAGCTCGGTGACAGAGGCCAGGATCTCGAAGGCCAGCTGGCAGGGCGACCACAGCAGAATGGACACAGCGATGGCGCTGCTGGAGATATGTGCCAGGAAAGCGGCCAGCAGGTCCGTGACCCTCAGGAAGGGGCTGACGATCGAATCCCACAGGGCCACCAGCAGGGTGAAGAGGTTCTGCATGCCAATGAGGCACATGTTGATGACGCTGTTGACCAAGTAGGCCAGCAGGCTCATGCAGATGGCCAGCCCTTCGCACACCTGCCTCACCAGGCTCTGCCCGGAGCCGAGCAGGTTGCAGAGCCCGCGGTGCAGCAACTCCTTGCTCCGCAGCGCCAGGTGGGAGAGGAGGTGCCCCAGCACCTTGAGGCCCTCCAGGCTGGCGCAGCAGCCCCGCAGCAGCCCTGCGAGGCCGTGCAGGACGCCCAGCGCCAGGCCGCAGGCCGCCTCGGCCAGCGACGCCAGACCCAGGAGCAGCCCGTTCCAGCAGGGCAGCGCAACAGCCGCCGC